CTTGAATGTAAATATTTTTGATTTGGGTGTAATCCTCTTTCAGAAGCACACTTCTCCCGCAGTTGTAGACGTCTGTGCTGTATGGGCCTGTGTTCATTTTTCTCTTCGTTATGCTTTCATTGTGGTGTAGCAGAACCTTCAGAGCATAATTAACGTGTTTATTTTTGGTAGCATACGTTTACAGGACTGTTGAAACAGTCTGTCTTGTATAGCTGCTTACACTGCAGAGAGAGCAAAAAAACTTTCTAAATAAACAAAAAACAACTGTAAACTTTAATAGAATATATATAAAGATTAACTGTCATAGTAATCAAATAGCCTTGCTTTTCACATTACTCTGCCTTCATCTTTCTCATATTTGAAATACTCTCAGTGACAGAGATTTGAGATGCAGCATCTGACAGGTGATAATGCTGCTGTGCTCGTGTACTTTAGTGCTGGATTTTAGGGGAACTGCACAACTGTGGCTATTATGCCACTCACTGATTTAAGTAGGTAGACAGTGCTGTAGCTATCTCAGCAGGCTGAAGGGGTTGTCTGTTTAACTGGTTATGAATGTCAGGGTGTGGCACGGAGGGGTAGCTCTCTGGGGCCAGGGCATCTGGAGCCATGGGGTGTTCCCAGGCTGACTCATCCCACCACCCTGGGCAGAAGTGAGGTAGTGAGGGGCAGCTCCTTGGGGAGGTGATGAGGGGATGGATACTGGCCCTGCTGCAGCATTGCTGGGGGTGGGAGCTGAGATGGGATCCTGGCACCTGGCCAGGGTCCTGGCTGAAGCTGATTTGGGCCAGTGAGCCGTGTTAGTGCCATCAAAATCTCAACACTGAATGACTTGGCAATACTTGATTCTTCATATTTTTTAAGTTTCATGCTGTTGTATTTTTCAGGGTAGACCTTGTTAAAAAAAGCATGGGAAGAGTAAGATTTAGAAATCAGCTTCAAAACCATCTGTCAATTTTGGAATATGGAAAAACACAGAGCAGCCTGTTACATTTTTTGGTAAAAAACACAGGTTTCTGCTGGAGGAAAAGAGCTGCTGTATGAGACTTGCATCCTGATTGCAAGAGATAACTTGAAATGTGTTAAAAGTGCCACTGACTTTGTTATCCTCTGTCATTTTATAATTTGTTCCGTCAAACAGGTGTGGTGTTTACTACAGTGCAGCATATTAATGGGATGACTTGCTACAATTGCTAGATGGGAAGTACATGAGGGCTGAAGCCTAGCAGAGGAATGATGAGACAAAGGGGCACAAAATCACAAAATGGAATATAGAAACCTTCATAATTAGTTTTAAGTAATGTTAAGTTTGATGGCTTTGTAACAGTAGCAATGAAAATTACTGAGGTGCATGATACATAGAGAAAAAAAAATAGAGTACAGCTAGAGAACATACTGAGAATTCTCACAAGATAAATCGTTATAGTTGGCCTAGTTTTAAGAAAAACAGTCTAGAAGAACAGGACACAGGGATGAGCATCTGGGAACTGCAGGTGTCCAGGATGGGCTACAGTTAAACTAACTGATAAGTAGGAGTATAGGAGGATTATTATGTCTCTGGTGCTAACGAACCAATTAAACTAGTATGAGCATCTACTGCACGTGCTTCAAAGGCTGCCAGAAGTGATGAAGATTGTTGGAAGAAGTTAACGACCCTCAGAGACCACCACCACAATTCTGTACGCATGCGGAGAACTCTCTGGAAAATGACGTAATCCATACGTATCCTCATGAATATGTATGTATGCCCAGGGACTATATAAGGATGGCTTGTATAGCAATACGGGGACACACGTTAGGAGGAGTTATCCCCTGTGTCTCCTGGTGCCGCAATAAAGAATACCTGCTTGTCAGCTTGAAAACTTTGTTGGCAAGTTTGTTCCTGGAGTTTTCTCCGAATCAATGAGAATCTCCATTTATGTACAACCTTGAGTTATTAGGTGTTAAAGTGGCACAACTCTGTTTGAAAATCTTCTATCTGCTTGAAATTAGTAAGTACAAACCCAGTGAATTTGTTTCTAAGTGAACTTGTTTCTAATATCAGCTGATTGTACAGCTCCTCTTGATTCTTATTTGGCTAAGTAGTCGTCTCTTTGTCAGATTACATTGTTCTGATGCATCAGTAGACTTACCCAAATAACTATAACTCCCTTTTTTAACACATATTACTTACGTTATTCCGTCATTATTTTACTTTCATTCTTTTTTTTCCTTTTTATTACATTATGTTGACACTTACCTCATTGCATCAGTAGTGAAGATAATGGGAAGGAGTAATTTGTTTTCTGGCAACATTTTCTCCTTTTTTTTCTTTTCAGTTATTTATGTTTTACTTCTATATGATTTTGTGAAGACTTTTTTCTGAAGATTACTCTAAGAGGTGTTTGCTATGTGATAAGCCCATATAAGGAGGCCACAAGAGATATTTCTAGAAGCAGATTATGCCACCACATTGTGATATGACAATGTAACACAGGTTGTATTGCAAAGGTTGCTGCTGCTTTGAGTTTTTATTGGAAACAGGCTTTAATGGGGTGGTCAGTGAATGCATTATATATATATATATCATGTTATATTATGTATTATATACCTTATTATAGGTGCTGGACATAAGCTTTTCTTAGGGAATGGAGTCCTACCTAGGGAGAGACCTCTTTAGACCTGATTTTTGTTAAGGCAGGTATGTATGTTACACTGAACATCAGTGAGTGTCAACAGATGGAGGAGGACCTCAAGGGGTTCTGCAGTTTCCTCACATGGATGCAGCATAATTCCTGTCAGAGTTTATCTGACTTGCAGCTAGAATGTTGTGTCCATTTTGGAGACCCTATTACAAGAAAGACTGTTGTGTAGTTTGCATCATCATGCAACAGGGAAATGGGTAAGTAAGGAAAGCAGAGACTGCTTGTGAAAGCTTCTGGTTACTGACCACAGACACAGAGCTCCAGGATTTTGTCACTTTGTGCACATTTTCCATACCCTACAATTTCAGTTTACTGTTTTTCTGAACACATTAATATTCTGACTGGTTTTCTGTATGCTACTTGATAAAGATTTTACTACAGTTTTTACGTGCACTACTTATATGAAGCTATGCTTATCTTGTGAGAAATGATAAGAGGGGAAATCAGAATAGGAAATACCACTTGAATCATTTATCTATCCCAGAGAGATACTGTGATAGATGTTCTTATATATATAAAATATTATTCCCTTCCACTAACAGAAAAAATCTAGAATTACCACCTCCACGCTTCTTTAAATCCCCAGTTCAGCATCTGAAAATCATGGTATTTAAAGAAGGTTTTCTGGTTTTAAACTTATTTGCACCTGGGTTGTGAGTTGTCAGGGCACTTCTGAGTAAGTCTTGTCAGAACTGTCTTTGTGAGTAAGATGAGTGGAGATGTAGTTATTCATAATGAACCTGTGACTCTCACTTATTGTCAGATTTCATGGAAGACACCACAGGTGATGAAAGTCACAAGAAAATTGAGACAACTGGTGGAGTTGCCTAGACACAGGCTGTACACACACTATCTCCCATCGCAACTTGCCTTCCATAATCCCATCTGAACAGCAGGTCCTCTCTTTAAAAAGAAGAAAAGTTTGGGGCAGATGCAGAGTTATGCTGTTACCCAGATTCTGCTGTCATTTACCTAAGTTAGGTAAAGGACTACATTATTCCTGCATTTGAAATAGTCTGTTACTGGTTCGTTGTTGGAATGCAGAGGTAGGATGTGGGAGGAGATCTGAAGAGGAGGAGATAACATGGGAGAAGGAGGAATCCTTACTCTATTTAAAAAATAAAATTTCATTAGCAGAGCCTGATAGCTATCCTCCTACTTATTTGTTTTAATGGCAGATCACTGTTCATTTTGGAACTCTTAAAGAAAAAAATAGTACAGTTTTGGTTTACTTTCTGCATCTCTAATTTTTTTCTCGTCTTCTGATGCTGGGAAGAAGACCTGCAAAGAATATTTAAAAGAGAAGAAAAAGAAACTCGGGACTTGGCCAGGGTATATGTTTGGTATTTTGCTCTGCAAAATCAGTTTCTCTTTCAGACAAGATGTTGTTCATCTACATGCTGAAATATGAGTATATTATGTGGTGTATTTTAGGCATTATATTATGCCCTGATTCACCAGAGCATTCCTCTGTTTTCATGTAACCGCAGCTATTTAAATAAAACAATAAACTACAGTGCTTCTCAGTAAGGTTCTCAGTAACACGTTATTGCACCTGTCATGTAATTCAAAATGAATAACATAACATGGATTTTTATTATGTAATTTGATAATTTGCATAGATTGTTTGGCCTGAGTGTAGGATTTGGAAGTGTTCCTAAGCTCTTCTAAATATGGTCTTGGATTTCCATGGTTCCTGAAACGTCATGTATTTTCCTGAAACAGCAAAAAGTTATCTAACTTAAGCAAATAATTTGGTACCTTGTGGTTGGTGGAATTTGATGTTTCTCTCAGTCAGTGTATCCTCACGTACTTTGCCTCCCTGGTGCCTTTTCCACGTTTAATACATCTAATACAATTTCTTCATGAAAATGCTATAAAGGTTCGTTAACTAATGTTTTCTGTAATGATTTGTGTGCTGTCTTTGCTATTGTAATTGGTCTATCCCATTAATAAGTAATGTCAGATTCTAAGAGGTGCCAAACTCACTATGATACCCATAAGCTGTTTTGTGAGTATTGGAGATGTAAGATAAGATCTTAAATGAACTATGTTTTTAAAGGCTTAAGTCAAATATTTCTTTACAGCATTTAGCTCTATTGTGAACGAAAATGTTTGTACAAGGGAAAGTTTACAGTACAGAAGACACATGTTATAGAATACAGTTATTTACACAGCACTCAAAGATTAAGAACTGAAACTACGATAAGGGAGCACTCAGTCTGTTGCTTAAGTGTTCAGTATTGTGTTTGCTGTTACTATAGGTACTATAGAAAATGATACAAAACTAACATCAACATTTGGTTTCAGCTAAGGTGGTAACGTCTGGAGCACACTGTAGCTGGAATATGTGTCTGTGGAAAGAAGCAGTATACATCACTTAAATACCATCTATGTGACTGATTTTCCTCCAAAATATTGTAGCACTTTTGAGAGCTTGGTGGCTACTGAGTTGGTTTCCAGAGCACCAGGTAATATCTCTTTCACTTTTCCCCTGATGTTTTTTTCTATAGAGTAATAGTATATCGGGATGAATTTATATTCTGATTGCACTGCAGCATATTATGTTTGTGAGTGGGGTTTTTTTTGGAAGTGTTTGGGCCAAAATATTTGTTTCTAACATTTTTACAAATGTGAAATTTGTTGGTGTATTCGTTGTTCTACCTGACATTTTCTCTGTCAACCTTAGGAAAGATGCATACCAATATTTTTAAATTTGACTAGTAAAGGAACTCACATTACTCACATCCCTGTGTCCCTAAACTCTAATTCTGGGAGGTTGTACTTGTGGCTATGCACCTCCTCTAGGAACAGGAGTGACGAAATACACAAGCTGTGGCTCTTTGTAATTAATGGAGGAAAAACCTTGAAGCTCTTGAGATGCCAGGTGTTTGCTTTAGAAACTTCTTAATTCAGACATTATGGTTAGCATGATGTGTTAGCTGGCCCTTACTACTAATTTTCAGCTGTCTGCTTGAGGTGTTCTGTAGTGGGCAGTGGCAGTTATGTTCTTTTCCATTGGCATTTATTCATCTTATTTTTTAAATTACACAATTCTTGCTTTACCAACAGTTCAGAGCTTTCACTCAGCACATGCTGATACATCATCCTTGTCTACACAGGAAAACTATAATGTTATAAAATATATAAACAGTAACATACAACTGCAGTTGTATCTATGTACAGCAAAGCCGACATCCTGTCAATGAAATCAGGGTCTTACCGTGTTAAGCACTGTATGAGCAACTTGTTGAACATCATTTCTGCCTCAGCACCCATAGTCTAAACATGGAGAGGCAAAGTGTGATTAGGAGAGAGAAGGTTTTTATCTGCCATACCCTCTACATCTTATTTTTCAATCTACGTGACACAGTTTAGAAACATTAGAACATATAGAACCATCAGGATTAAGACTGCAAAGGAGAATAGGAGGTAATCAAATCGGGTAGGAGGAATTTCTTCAGGCAACTTCTCTATTTTTTTTTAATAGTGCATGAAGTAAGTTTACCTTAAATCAATAAGGTATCAATTTATGGTTAATACATATGGTGGTTTAGTAAGATGAAAGACATGTTTGATTGAAGAAGTTGCTCTTGTGTAAAGACATCAATTTTGTTGATTTTAATATGTCTAAATTCTTGCAAGAAGTTCTTGTAAACAAGCCTACAAAGCCTTGGGCTGGAAAACCCTGACTTTCTTTGTGTTTGTTTGATTGTGTTCTGTAGAGATACTTATGGTTTTTTATCCCCATTGCTAGAGGATATATACAAAACAGCAGGTTTGGATAACACTGTCATTTCATTCTCTTTTGGAGACAGTAAATTAAAATGGAAACCAATACACAAATGATTCTAAACTTTTAAACTGCTTTGAGTGACAAAGACCTGGCTTGAGATTTGTTTGAGAGTCAAACTGAAAATTGTTTTTTTTAGAAAATATGAAATTATTTGTGCCAGGTAAGACAAAATCCATGAAGAAAAAACACGAATTATTTCAGAATAGGCAGTAGTGAAAGCATTTTACTGGGATGTGGAATGGTATGGACCTGCCTTGTTGCAGAAATGAACTCAGCAGTACATTCTTTTTTATTTTGCTCCAGCTATGCTATGCAAATATAGATTTGGAGCTGGCATATGTCTTAAAGCTGAGTGTGTAAACATAGCAAGTTTGTGTTTGCCTTTAAAGAGAAACCCAACAATTCTGGAGATGTTGAATTCTCCCATGAGGTTTCTAGATACCTAACTTGGGACTACGGACACAGTGGCTATGTGGATTTAACTCTTACTGATAAGCTTAAGAGGAAAATATGTTCTGTTTCTGTTGAGCATGCCTAGGCATGATTGCTAATACTAAGAGGAATGACATAGCTATATCCATGTTTATAGTGTTGAAGTTATAAACTAACCTAATGGTAGCAAAACACACACTCTCAATTGTTGTTACGTTATTTCCTATGGTGCAAACGTTATTTGCACATTAAAAAGCAGCTGGCTTATTTGTATACTTACACCCCTTTAAAAAATGTCTTAATGAGCCGTTCCTTGTTGAAGTGAATGTTCAGAGCATTTACTGTTTGTGCCATGGCAACACCTGCTTTCTTTTTCTTTGTATGTATTCTACTGCCTTGGTATCTCCTGTGGCAGCAGAACATGCTAAATAAATAGTATCCTTAGAAACTGTAAACTAAACATGGGAGCACGGTTGGTGCCATATAGCTTTTGGTTGCATTTTGTGTTCTGAAATATGGTAAAGATCACCAGGGAATGACTTCTCAAGTCCAAGTTGTACAATGTTCAGTAACAGAAATTGCCATCCATTAGATTTTACCGGATTATAGCAGAGAAAAAGTATTTGTTGTTGTGTGAGGAACAAATTACATTGTAATCGGACTATTGAAAACTGAACTATTGAAAACTATGCTCACTAGAAAATAGTTCTATTGAAAACAGTAGAACTATGACTAAAGATAGACCACATAAGAACTTTAAGACTGGGCTCTGTTTTCTTGTTTTCATCATGAAATGCTTCAAATGAGTAAACAGTTGCAGAATTTCATTCTCTCTAACATGCACATTTTTTTGTGCGCAGTTCAAAGAGCTAACTCAAACTAAACCAGGCAAAACTTGAGGTCACCGGGAAGAAGCACCTTCTGGTGGTTTAAAAGCAGTTGGTTAAATAGAATGTATTTCCCAACAAAGTGAAGGTGTGCACTGCAGCTTTATTGTAGACATTTAAATTAATGTCCTGGGTTTAGCAGTGGCAGTCATTTTTCTCTTTCTTGGTAGCTGGTGCAGTGCTGTGTTTTGACTTTCAGCTGGGAACAGAGCTGAAAAACACTGATGTTTTGGTTTGGCCAAGGACTTTGTGGGCCTCATGCTCTGCCAGGGAGGAGGGGAGCCGGGAGGAAGCAGAGACAGGACACCTGACCCAAATGACCAAAGAGGTATTCCATACCACAGCACGTCATGCCCAGGAGGTAACTGGGAGTTAGCCGGAAGGGCTAGGTGGACTGCAGGGTTGGAGGAGGTATCGGTTGGTGCTTGATCGGGCTGGGGGGCAAGTTATCGGTCGCCTGGTGATGGGGTGTTGTATTCTCTTCCCTTGTTATTTCCTATATCATTACTATTATTGGTGGTAGCAGTAGTGATTTGTGTTATACCTTAGTTACTAAACTGTTCTTATCTCAACCCGTGGGAGTTGCATTTCTTTTTGATTCTCCTCTCCGTTCCCCCAGGAGTAGGGGGAGGGCAAGAAGGGGGGGAGTGGGTAACAAGCTGTCTGGCTGTGGGTTAAACCACGACAGTTCTTTTTGGCGCCCAACGTGGGGCACGAGGGGTTGAGATAACGACAGATCTGACCATCACAATGCTGATTTATTGGGTCTCAGAGTTGTTCCTCTTGATCTCACAGCTTCAGAATGTTGTAACTTACTTAGAGCCGGTATTTGCTGTGTTAGTGTTTATCAAGTGTGGGGCTTGGGCTAAGGTTCCTGTCTCACTGTACTTTATGGCAATGACTTGTAATACGGTCGGGCTCCAGCAGCAGGGCGGGACGGACGTGGCCATGGACTGGTCCCTGGCCGTCCGGCTGCTCCTCACCGTCCTGGCCCTCGCCCTCGCCTCCGTCTGCGTGAGGCTCTGGGGAGCCGAGGGGGGGCGGCCCCGGGAGCCGGCGGCTGCTGAAGCGGCCCGGGAGAGCGGCCCCGGGGACCAAGCGGGAGCGGGCGGAGGCCGCAGGGGACGGCTGCCGGTGGAGGAGGTCGGGGCGGTCGAGGAGCGGGAGAAGGCAGCGGAGGAGCTGAGCCCCGCGGCCAGCCCAGCCCCGCGGCGGCCGAGAGCATTCCCCGGAAGCCGCCCGCCGAGCCCCAGGAGGACGCAGGAGACCCCGCAGCATTTCCCAGCAAGGCAGAGGAGGAAGAGCTGGACTCAGGAAAAGAGAAGCTGGTGGTGGGAGAGCCGGCAAGCACAGCAGCTACACCAGCCCCAGTGACAAGCACAGCAGCTACACCAGCCCCAGTGACAAGTACAGCAGCATCGTTTGAGAGTTCTGAAGGTTTTGAATGGCCTTTGGGTACCCTTGGGACCTGCCTGCTGATTGTGATGGTGTTCACTATGTTGGCACACATGCAGAGTGTGTTTTACCCACCACCATTGTGTCTGATCCCAAAATTTAAGCAGAGTCGGGTTTGGGTCTTGTCTGGGGTTAGACAACAATATGGGAGGACCAAGAGGTTTTCCCCAAGGCTGGACAGTCATGAGTGGCAGGGCATGTGGGACAGTATGGGCAAGTATCTAGTCCACTGGGCCCCTCCAGTGCTTTGGAAACATTGGAGATGGAAGGACAATGAATTATTTTGAACCTGGTGGGCCCATGACCCTTAAGGCCAACAGAGCAGAGATGCAACATAGAGATGGACTCATGATCGAGGGGTGGACCTAACAATGGACACTACTGCCCAGGTTATTCATGTGTGTGAACACTGCACACAGCCTCTCCTGCTCTGGAAGACTGTTACAAGAGATGGAGCCTGGCATCATGGACCAGATGGACTCAGCAGCTTTATAGGGACTGGCCCATGCACTACGATGAGAGTGCACTTAGATAAGAGTGAGGGTATATTGAAAATGTGGGATCTGAGCATGACGTGAATGGTATGGAATAAGGGGTGGATAATGTCCTGGGTTTAGCAGTGGCAGTCATTTTTCTCTTTCTTGGTAGCTGGTGCAGTGCTGTGTTTTGACTTTCAGCTGGGAACAGAGCTGAAAAACACTGATGTTTTGGTTTGGCCAAGGACTTTGTGGGCCTCATGCTCTGCCAGGGAGGAGGGGAGCCGGGAGGAAGCAGAGACAGGACACCTGACCCAAATTGACCAAAGAGGTATTCCATACCACAGCACGTCATGCCCAGGAGGTAACTGGGAGTTACCCGGAAGGGCTAGGTGGACTGCAGGGTTGGAGGAGGTATCGGTTGG